AGAGAGAGAGAGAGAGAGAGAGAGAGATACAACAAGAGAGAAGAAGAAAGACTTGAGAAAGAAAGAGGGGGAGAGGGGAGGGGAGGGGGGGGAGAATGTATCAAACAAAACAAAAGCCAACAAACAGGATATAGCCTTAGGACAAAACAACACTTCACGTTGACGTTGTGCTCAGGGCATGAAGAGACAGACAGACAGCTTCATAACAAAGAAAGTGTTGGATTGGAGTCCCCGGGGTAAGAGGTCAAGGGGAAGACCACGTGAGAACCTGGAGAAGAGTCACGGAGAATGATGTACAGAAACGTGGGAAGACATGGAATAATATCAAGAGGCTAGCCCAGATAGGGAAATGTGGAAAGCGTTTGTTCGTGGCTTGTACCCTGATCTAGGTTGAGAACGGTATTAATTGATTTGGCATGGACAGCGTTTTAGTAAGGTTAGTTTCAATAAGAGCTTTACGTCACTTGCAATACAACATGGCTATATATAAGTGCTAAAGATGAAAGGTGTTACTAGAGAGTAACATACAAACCAAAGAGGGAGGAGAGATAAGGACGGTAAATGTTTGATAGGAGAGAAGGGGCAAAGTTCACCAAAGCACCCATTAACCATAAACTTGGACAGCGTGATTTGAATTGGAAAATAAATTATTCAAATCAAACAATAGATAGGGACTCTTTTGAATTTCACTTTTCTTTGTCAAATTGAGTAGGTCACTTATAAATGTTCACTCGCCACTTGTTTTAAATCTACATGTTTTTAAAAAATATTATTATTATGTTGCTATTTAATCTGTTTTCAGCATTCCTGAAAAGGCACGAAAAAAATTCCCAACGAGACAATAAAGTATTATCTTATCTTATCTTATCTGATCTTGTGTCATCGTATCTTATCTTATCTCGTCGTATCTTTATCTTGTCTTATCTTATCTTATTTTTGCTTTCAATGTTCAACCTTGCTTGGTGAATTCAGCTTACTATACAAAAGATGTTCTGTGGCCTACTTTCGTGAATTAAATAGCAATTTTTACAACCCACGTATTACTCTTTTCAGTGTTTTCTTTTACACCTCCACCGAAATAATTTAGATCCTTTAGGAGGCAGGCTTCGACTCTGCCTATCCGGACCAACCCGGGCTGGAAGGGATAGGGATACAACATCGCAGTAGAAAGACCGAAATTTAAATTTAAATACTCGATTGAAATTCTCCTCTCTCCAGGATTCAACTCGAGTCCCAGCGTGAGACGGCGAAGTGCCTAACCGCTACATCACAGACGCCGGTTACAGCTCAGTTCATGTTGTGTTTGGTCAATATAGCACGGGATGGGCAATCCAGAACAATCTTCTGAAAGGTGATGACGAAAAGCACAACAAATTCTTTACACGCTTTTACAGTTTCAACGGACACTCGTTTTTATAGGGCGTCACGAACTGTGACAAACTGCACACAAACACAACAAGGTAGGAAAGTTAGAGACTCGCCTGCGACAAAGATTTTCCTGATTAAAAACAACACACACAAAAAAACCGTAGAATGTTTCTTCCTCATTAATGATCACACACGTAGTTTGGTTAGATACTTTGTACTCTACGGGCCTGTCAAAACATTACGGTAAATTAATAACACGAGGTCGCAATGTCGACTTACACTTACACGATGTTACATTAAGCCCTGTTCCAATTACTGTTTAGTTTCAGAGCAATTTTTATTGCACTTGCAATGCAATTAGATGCCGAAGACCAGGGTTGTTTCTGGAGATATAAACAAAAGAAGAAGAAGAAAAAGAAGAAGAAGAAGAAGAAGAAGAAGAAAAAGAAGAAGAAGAAGAAGAAGAAGAAGAAGAAGAAG